GACAAATAACACAAAGGAAACCATTGTGCAAAAAAATAATGTACGGCTTAAGACTTTTACGTGTTGATACGAACAAATAAGACAACTGAAATAAATATTATGGACTGATATTTCTGCCAGCATCATTTTGTTACTGGTGTCTGCTTAGACATAACCCCATTTACTTTAACCATGACTTCGCTCGTGATTGAAATGATGAAAATGTTGATATCGGGGACTAAATATGGGAATTAAGATATTTCAATACTGATTACGACGAAGCTGTTGTAAATCTAAGTTTCTATGATCATCGTGTGTGTAATCAAATTTATGATCGATTATGCGGTTAAACTGTCTGAAGACAATTTTTTAGCCGAACATCAACATGTTATATTTGCATTAATCATTCAAGTCATATATGAACTATAACCTTGTGTTGTATTGTAGACATTTATATCATAGTTTGGAATGAATTACCGTGTTTTCCCAGTGAAATAAAAACCGATAATTTTACATGTGAAATAGACTCGATTATTTCAATCCCCTGACGTCATACAACAATGGAGTTTCTACTTTATTTCTATTTAAAAGCTCATTGTCATTGTAATAAAAAGAATAACTAATAAAAAAAATCAAGTATAAAAAAATATTGAACTGGTGATCGAACAACACGGATAATTAACGCATGCGCTACGTGCTTTCATGAGTTAATGTGTTGTTTGGTCACTCGTTGAATATTTTTCGGAATAGAAATTGTACAAATCAGCTCTTAAACGGTATTTCAAAGTTGTCTTTACCTACTACTAAATGAGAAAGGTAAAAAATTATCAGACCATTATCAATTTACTAAAAAGATTTTTGTTAAATAAATTAAAAGGAAATGGTTATGCAAAATATAATACGTTGCTGGCTTGCTGTCGTATTATATGACCCCTCTCCTTCGTTCATTATTTTTTTCAAGAAACACATATTTTTGAGAAAGCAATTTATAAAATCAGTGTTTTTATCTTTTTAAAAAACTTTAAGCAAAGATTTTAAAATATGGATTGATTTAGTTTGTATAATGTTTAATTTCTACCATTTTCAAGAAAATGAAAATAGTTGCTTACATTGATGCTATTGAATAGATCACATATCTGAATGTCATCTGCAAATGGTCAATGGATAGGTTATCTTGTAGCGTTTTAAAATGAAATAGTTAACATGAACAGGGAACTGTTGATTATAATTGAAAATAAACTTCCAAAAGTTATAATGGTTTATAAAACCCGTCTGTAATTTCAAAGAGAAATATATAAAATTCCGTTTCAATTTGATTTGGTAGCATTTCTAAGAAATAATAGATAATTGAAGGGAATAAAAAATAAGATCCTGCAGATTTATGTTATTGGACCGCTGATTTAAGTTATAGGAACAGAAATTTTGACAACGGAGAGGTTTACCTGTAAAATTGAGAATGGAAATTGGAAATGTGTCAAAGAGACTACAACCCGACCAAAGAGTAAAAAGCAGCCGAAGGCCACCAATGGGTCTTCAACACAGCAAGAAAATCCCGCCCTCGAAGGCTGACTTCAGTTGGCCCCTAACCAAAATGTGTACAAGTTCAGTGAAAATGGACCTTATACTAAACTCCAAAACATATAAATGAACTAAAATTAAAAAAGCATACAGATGTTGTTTCGATGGGTCTTTTTTCTGATTTTAGTCATAAATTGTGAATCATATCAATATAGAAACAGGCTAGCGTTTCACAAAGAATCGTACGATTCTCGTTTAAGATTAACTTTACGTCAGGCGTAAGATTTTACCTGTCCCGTCTTGTTTTAAGATATTTATTTGCTTTGGTTTTATTAGAAAAAATGGCTGGTGGTGGGTTTTTTTTTTCAAGCGCGGTCTGTTTTTGCTATTGTTGACCGACAGACGAATGATGAAGTTAAAGAAACAGACAAATTCATTGGGACTTCGGCATATATTGAATCCAAATCAAAATGAGTTTCTAAATTGTTTATATGAAATTATACGTATCTTCAGATGTTAATCATGAACAGGTATAAAGTTTCTTAAGCATTGTGATAGTTTCTGATGCGTGTCTAGACTTTTTTTTAAAAAGGAACCCACTGACAAGACAACATTAGGACTTGGACATGTAAAAAGTATTTGCTCATTTTCATTTCATATCTTATAATGCTATGCTATGCATTTGCTACTGTGTCATCCAAAAATATAATAGTCATTAGGAGATAAAAAAAAAAAAACGCATTAATGTCTACGTATGTTTTATTTATTTTATTTTTTTTTGTATCTGGGGATTGAAGTTTATCCAATTTCTTATTCAATGGAGTCTTTTTTTATTTGTGTACCTATAAAGGGCAAATCTTGAATCTTACCACTTCCTACCTTTAAAAACGCGAACCTGATAGAGCGCATGGCAACTGGTGTAATTACTTTGAAACTATGGATTCATACCATAAGGCATTATTAATTATTGTTTTCTCAATTTCTGGACTGTTATTTGTTTTTAAAATAATCGTTATATACAAAAATGTCTCTTCAATAAAGAGCACCGTCCTCCACTGAAGTGTATAACCGCAGGACATGCGTTAGATAGGGGGTTATAACAATTTTAGCTTGACATAAATATGTATTGTTAACTTCATAAAGTCCGGAGAACTAGTAAATAGCGTTTATATTTTTTGTGAGAATATTTAGTACAAAGTTAGGTGCATTCACGACGTACCGACACCCCTTTGTGAATTTAAAGCAGATGTCCCTTTATAAAGCGCTGTGTTAGATCAATCACTTTTAAGTTTTTATGATAAAATATTTAGACTTTTGGAAGCGAGGTGCTCGTTTCAGTTAAATTAAAATAAAGTCAAATGTAGAAATGGTAAAAATACAATTATTTCAAGAATTTAAAATTTCAGTAACTTATTGTTGTGACAAAATAACATGAATACATGTATTCTGATCATCCAATGGAACTTAATTTTTTGTAAGATAATGTAATGTTGTTGATTTTAACCAAATGTCAACAGGTTAAATAACTACGATTTGTTTTACGACTGCCTGTTAACACTCGAAAGTTTACGATCAAACTTACGATAAAATTCTACTAACGATTGTTTATGAAACGATAAAAAACTTACGATTTGACTCACGACCGACGTAAGATCTAAGATTGTCGTACGATTTTTTTGTGAAACGATGGTCAGGACTGCAATAAGTGGTGCAAAGTTTGTCCCATTGGAATTCCGATAACTTGACGATATACGGAATCTCTATACCTAACAAAATTGTTATCTTGTAAAAATTCAATGGCAGTTATAGTATCAAAGCAAGTCCAATTGTCATAGTTCTTTTGTTTGTTGTTACTAAAACATGACCTAAAAAGTTTGAACAAATTTATCGCATTCTGACTATTTAAATGTCCATTTAATTAGATTTGTGATTTTTTTCTTAAAAAGATTATGAGGTAAAGTAGTATATAGGGTATACAAAATCTAAACTTTGAACAGATTAGAAATCACCAATATAAGCATGCAATTTATCAAGTGCTTCCAACGAAATTTTGACACTCCAAAAGTAATTAATGCCACTATTTTCAAAGGCATTATTTGAACAATTTATTACCAGGTGTTTGATTGTACCAAGTGTACTAGTAAGTATAATATACAGTTTACTATTGGAAAAATGGCTTGAAGACGAAATTACTCTGTATTTGTAAGTTGTTTTGTGCAGTTCGGGAAGCCAGTACATGGTTAAAACTTTCATTGTATTTGGTTTTCCTTGTAAAGGAGTAGCTATTAGTGTATGTGTGTTACAGATGTCATTTTCTGAAAATGGAGTCAGTTGGAATGTTGGTATCTGTTTAGGACAAGATAGTTAACAGGAGTAGAGGAATTGAGAACAAACAATAAAAAAGAGGAAAAACATTATCGATCTGATGCATTTTATTTGTACATTTTTTTTATTAGTAGTACATATTTTCAGAACGATAAAATCTACTTTGGACTATTTTAATTTACCTTTCTTGTAGTTTGCCCGAAATAAAAATAAAAATCATATGAAGATGTTGCATATCTAGTCATTTAGTTTTCTCTTTTTGAAAACTGTCTGAACAATTCCTCAAAATGTACAAAAAATGATTAAATTTAATATGGTCTCGTTTCTAAGAAATAATTGAATGGATAATATAATTTTGGTCAGTTGGCTATGTCATACATTTTCTTAATGAAGAGTTTCCCTATTTCTCTTGATTACAAGATAGATACCCCTGATTGAGAAACGCAAACCATTTGAAACAAATATTACTTCCAAAAAATCCTATAATAAAAAAAACAGGAAATCGTTTTTTTAAAAATAATATATGAGTTAAGGATTTGATAGTGTAAAAGCAAACAACTTAGGTAACTGTGTTAACAAGTTTAGACTGATTTTCCAGTCAGAATCATTTTGAAAAATTTGAAGGATTACACACAAGGAAACCATTCTGCAAAACATAATATTTGAGTTAAGGATTGTATACGCTTAACAGGTGACAATTTAGTTAATCGAATTAAACATTATGGATAATATTTCTGCCAGCATAAATTTGAAGTTATTGTCTGCCTGGACATAACTCCATTTAATTTAACCATGTCTTCGCTCGAGATTGAGATGATGACAAGAGGGTTTAAGTATCGAGGTCAGAAGATGCGAATTAAGATCTCTTAGATATTTTTGTTTATTCAAAATTCTAATCGATTATATGGTTAAACTGTCTGAAGACCAATTTTTTTTTTTTTTTTTTTTAGTCGAACATCAAAATATTATATTTTGCATCAATCATTTAAGTCATACATGAATTATAACCTTTTGTTGTATCAATTATTTACATCGGTCAGAGAGTATGCAATATTTCAACCAGTTTTCAAACATATATACTACACTTACATTGATCTTCTTTTTCTAATGTAAATGATAAGGTAATAAATACAAATCATTTTAGGCAGAAATACGTTTTAACAAATATTATTTTACAGGGACCTGAAACAAAACAAAATTGGAACGCTTGATGTAAATCTCTTTAAAAGTTTGACGGCTCTGGAAAAATTGTAAGTAACTTAATTCCACAAACACATTTTTGCCTCCAGGTGTTGCTGGTTTGCTTTTTATCCTCTTGAAATAAATTGTCATTTTCTGCCAACGATATATTGATTTGTGTCAATATGATTAAGCATAAAATTTAAAATTAACAATATTAAAGAAATAATAAATGAATACCTTTAGATTAATGTTATTAAATTGCTGATATAAGGTAAGGAGGAAGGATTTTTTTTATGTTTCAACTAACCAAATACAACCACCAGTTATAAAAACATTGTATATATTTGAACAACACACGAATTAAGTGGTGAAAAAGTAAAATAACAAAAATACTGAACTCCGAAGAAAATTCTCAACAAAAGTTTCAAAGCAAATGATAAAATCAAAAACTCAAACACTTCAAACGAAAGGATAACAACTGTTATATTCCTGACTTGATGCTTAACACGTTTGTGATTTAGCAATCCTTTGCCACCCCTTAAACATCGATGTAACAAAAAAGAACCCAATAAAAACAAACTTTACAAATCATTTGAAAGAGATGTATTCATCAAATCAACAAGAAGCATCTGTCAGTATGTCTGTCATACCTTTAATTGGTTTTCGAAGAGATATACTACATCTCCATTTGTCTTCTTTTTCTAAGGTAAATATGTTTGGATTGATGAATACAAAACATTTATACAGAAATACCATTAAAAAATATCATTTTACAGGTACCTGAATGGCAACCAAATTGTAACACTTGACGTAAATCTCTTTAAAGATTTGACGGCTCTGACGGAATTGTAAGTAACTTGATTCACATACAACTGTTTGTCCTAATGTGATGCTGGTTTTCCACGCAATGATTTAATTTATCTTTATGATTTTTTTTCCATTTTCGTCCACAGATATATTAATGTGTGTCAATTTCATTTTGTATTAATAAGGACTTTACACGTATGATATGGTATTGCTGGTATAAGTTAATGTGATAAGAATTTTGACAACGGAGAGGTTTCCCTGTATCTGTTTAGGACAATATAGTTAACAGGAAAAGAGATGACGCAATCTTATCAAAATTGAAAGCAAACTTAATTAAGAGGAATTGCATTTTTGATCCGGTGCAATATATATTAGTACATTTTTGCAGTATTACATATTTTCAGAACGATACAATATTTGCATTTTGGACTATATCAGTTTGATTTCCCTGTATATTGCCACAAAATTAAAATGAAGGGTGTATTGGATAGATATTATAGCAATTTATTTTTCTCTTTTTTTATACTGTATGCACAATTCCTCAAAATATATCAAAATATTGTATCGTTTCTTAAAAATACTGTATAAGAATGTTTTCAAATTGATAAAACAGTTAAAGTGAATTAAGTGAATTCAGACTTTCTAGTAATATGTTCTATCTTTCGTTAATTATTTGGATTTAAAGTTAAAACACGCATGAAATATCGATATATAAAGATATAAAGCTAAAATTTTAAAGTTAATATAAAACATGCATTAACAAATATCCATATTTGATGATATAATGCTCAAATTGTTCAAATTACAGCTCTTAAACAAGCTTAAAGTAATGTATGAGGTTCAAACAGACAACTTAGTTAAGTGAATTGAAAATGTTTTGCAGGCATCCATCGGAGGCTATTGTCTGCATGCACACAACAACGTTCTACTTAACGCCATCTCCACTGACTTTGGACTCGATTACATAACAGAATATATAAAACATGTCAGAAGACCTCACAAAAAAATCTGCCAACACTTTTGAAAAATATGGTCATTAAATTATTTGATTTTTATATACTTAAGTGCAGACATTGAAGATGTTTTAGTCTTATATCAATAATGTGAGACATGAATAAATAATAACAATATATTATATTATGAAAATCTGTCAGTGTGTTTGCAATATATTAAACAGTTTACAAAACAGATATATTAGACTTCCGTTGGCCAATTATTGCCAATGTTAATCTGTCTGCATTGACAAATATGCCAAACGTAATAGAGAAACACGTTATGCTATTTTATACAGAACAGTCAAATTACAAAATTCTCCATATGTTGCTTGTTTGCTGTCATATCGTACCCATCCCTCTCCTTTTATTCAATTCTTATAAGTAACATAAGTTTTTGAGAATGCAATATATATTATAACTTTCTAGAAATGTTTTCAAATTTCCTCATAGATGTTTGAATAACGTTTAATTTATTTTGTATAATGTTTAAAGTCTACCATTTTCGAAAAAAAAAAATAAAGGTCGTTCAAATTGATGTTATTGAATAGGTCAGACAGCTAATAAATATCATCTGAATTTGTCAATAGAGATGTTATCCTGTATTCCTTTATGATAAAAGAGTTTAACTTGAGTAGGGACACACTGTTCTTTATGATTGAGATTAAACCTTCCTAACGTAGAATACCCTTATCAATCTGGCGATATACGTAAGCTATAGGGAATTCACATTTTGAGAACAACCAAAAAATTGTTCTTCATAATGCTTTAAGTTTGACTTTTCATTTCTTTTTATCTTTTATAAAACCACCTGCAATATAAAGTGAAATGTATAAATTTCGTTTTAATTTGATTTGGTAATAAGGACGTTTTGATTTATTTTATTGATTTGAATTATCTTAAAGGATTAAGTTCCTGTGTAGGTCGTTTAACGCTCCATTAGTTAGATGGGACATAAAATAACAGAAAACGAACATACATGTTGTAGGATATTATCGACTGGCATTATACTCGACGTCGTTTTGTATTATGTATACATCATGAAAAGGGCATGCAATTTTATTTCTTTTAAATTTGAAAACAAAAGTTCAATTGATATTTAATGCATCAAAGAAAATCATTTTTTTTTTTGTATAAACAGGAAGCTAGAAAGTAATCCTTTGAATTGCTCAATGTGTATGATGAAAGAATTCAAGGATTTTCTTCAAAGGAATAATGACTTCGGAAATTCCGGTGCAAGGTGCAAAGGTGCAAACCTGTTAATTGACCAGAACTTCATCTACTGCTCACTGCTAGGTAATATAATACAACTAATATAATGAAACGATTCAACTGCCATCTTACCTCTAACAGTGGTGTAACTGATCAAGATACTAATAAACTGTACAATCAATTGAATCTTGGTAGCAGCTGTATAGTATACAATAAGGAGATGTGACATGACTTCCATTGAGACAAATATATATCGCTATAGAATATCCATATTGTATAGCCCTTTTGAAGGCCGCAACGTAGTCGAAAACTTAATTAATGCTATCGAAAATATCATAACGGTGTATAATCAAAGTTGTCAGATGATGGAAGTCATATAACGGATGAACTAGATTATGCATGAAATATTTGGCCCTGAATATATATCAGCAAAATCAGTAATTATTAAAAAGAATGTTGCGTCGAGAATAACGGGGCTCTAGATAAAGTCACTAACAAACATTTCAATAATTATCATGATACGGCACACATCATTTCGTCGTTGAAAACCTTGTTATCATTTCAAACTACATCACTTTTTTCTAAATTTGTGTATTGCTCTTCCCATTCAAATGAAACTATTGAATCAATACGAAACTTCTTAGTTACATCTAAGTTTTTTTTTTCTTTTTTGAATCATTGCGTTAAAAATATAAATTCAAAATAACAAATTAACTTACATTAATCGTCAATTAGCAGAAATGTCCAAATATCTTGACTTAATGTGGATGGGGAACATAGTTCAATTGAATAACTAGGGACAATTGTTATATTCCTAACTTGTGTTACGCACTTGTTCACAAAACTTTTACCAGTGCTAAATTTGAAAATTTCTTATAAGTTTTGGATTTTCAAATAGTTTGGCCTCGATCATCAATGAAGAGACTTTGATTGTCGAATTGCGCGTCTGGTGCAGTAAAATTAGTATCGTTAATGTTATTAAAAGAATACTCCGGATATGAATTGATCTATACTGTAGTTAGTTGTTATACTAAACAAAGCGAGAGGTCAAACAAGCAAACATAAAATAAACTCAATACGGTAGGTACTGTAATCTGTAGTTCAAGACCTTTGACATTCTTTTTGCGTTTTGTCAACTCTCGCTTTACTTTTATAAACGTAGATTCAATTATTTGTGTTATGCAAGTATGTTTTTTTTTTTTTTGGTCGATTTTTTTATGGTTTTGTATATTTGAAACCGTATGTCAGAGCTGCACTTTTCTTTTTGAAAATGCATTAACACATACGTCAATCGTAGGTCTAGTACATGTATTACACCCACAACTAACTCAGAAATAACAACAACAAAAATAGAAAACGGACTTCTAATTCTTCCAACATCATTTGAATATATTCCAGTTTTTCTCGTGTTGGGGTTGATAACGTTGAAACTTCACTTTTTCTATGTGAATTTCAAAAACGTTTTCTTTGTGATCAGTGGCCTGTTTGATATATAGTTTTGTTTTCCTCACAAGGATTTATTTTATACTACTTTTTTAAACATTGTGCTTGTCAGAAAATACAACAGCACCTGTCTGAATTTCTACTCAGCATCAAATTTGTTTAAGGATGTTCACTGCTCTTGTTTTTGAATTTTTGCCAGATTTTCGGGATCCCCTGGTTTTATTCATGCTATGCCATTAAAAACATGTGTCCACTAACCCCTACTTTCCTTTTTATAATTTTATTTCATATAGTTTAAAAAACCATATTTTAAAATCTTATAAAATCCTTTTTGGTTGATTTATGTTGGTTTAATATTGTTTAAACTTTAGTTGTTCTATGTTTATTTCATAAAAGTGTTTTCTTTGTGATCAGTGGTCTGTTTCATTTATAGTTTGTTTTTCCTGTCAAGGATTTATTTTGAACTACTTTTTATGCCCGCAACTTTTTTAGTTTGAATCCTAGGAAGTTTTCACTTTGCTGTCTGTTTGTACATATATTGAAGGTGTGCTTGTGGTCAGGGTTTTGATTTTTATTAATATTTGCTCTTTTGGGAGATAGATGAACTTTGTCATTTTTTAAAGTATTTACTTGCATAAGAGGAGCGTGCTCCCATGCTCAACTTTGTGTATTTTAAAATAACACTTTGCATTTACAGGGGCATCAAATGTGTCTCCAAGACACAATAATATCTCAAAGAAAGTCCTACATGGACTACAGTTACTTCAAAGTGGAGTGCGGGGGCATCACGTTGTCTAATTAAAACATTGTGCTTGTCAGAGAGACAACAGCACCTGTCTGAATTACTACTCGGCATCAACTATGTTTTATTAGAAGTATTACAGATAAAACCTGATTGTATTTTTTTAAAATTAAAATGTACTAAGACAAAAATAATCTATTACATTTCTTCATAACTTGGTGTTGTATGTTTTTGAAATTAAACGTAGAAATATTAAACTTGAAAAAAAAACAATAATGTCACTCGACTATGCAAAAAATCCGAAGCCTGTAACGAATTAGACAAATTAAGGGGGTGCCAAACGCTTTGACTAAACTAGATTTGTCTAGTTTAATTTTCACAAAATTTTCACAAAATATATAAACTTTGACCTGTTGCCAAAATATAAAAATTTAAACCTCACAATTTACAGGAATAATTTCATTAGATATATGGCTGTTAGACATAGACTAATTTTACTCATTTAACAGCTTGATTTTTTTTACTAATAGTATGATAGCTGATTTTTTAAGAGAAAAGTTCCTTAGTTGTTCTGTACCCCCTTAAATGAAGTTTTATTTTGTCTCATTATCACTCTACTTATATGTATAAGTAAATGTACCTCCATTTTTGTCGTATCCCATATTAACCTTTTTTTTTGCTTGCTCATCTATTTTAAACACTAACAATCCAAGACATGTCAAGGGAAGCATTACTCATTGCAACAATGAAACATGGTTCGGTGCAAGTATAGTTAACACTTTGATTTCCAGTGAAAAAATGGCATTTCTTCTTTATATGCTGTTGTCTGTTTGTTGAATAATTATTTTTGCCAAAGGTAGGTTTTTTATCATTTTATTGAATGATTGATAGCTTATTGCGTTTTAAAACTCTTTCTTTTTTTTCAATTTTTGTCACATTCCTTTCCACCATCAGAAACAGAATGTACAACAGGTAAGATCAGAGCTTATAATTATTTACGAAAATTATCTATTTTTACAAAAAGCCCTCTGGGGTAAAAAAAAAAACTATTTAATAATGTTGATTGGAACATCCGGGAAAATGTCATACTTCTGGCTATAGTGTCAAGCCCATGTACACCAAACTTCTCAAGAAAATTTTTAAAAAAATGAATTGCACATGAAAATTTTTTTTAATATGAGGTGCGCGATTATACTTTTAAAATGTAGATTTCAACTATAAAATAACATGATACACATGTAGAGAAAATGAAAAATTTAATGAATTGCATATAAAATTTCTTGTTTGCAGGTCTTGGGTCTTTTGAGAAGACTTCTCTAATTACATTTTGCTTATATATAAGTTGAAATTGTATTTATGTGGTCTTATAGAGTAAAATTAAGTGCTGAAAATTAAATCAATATATCAAATTATTGAAAACTACTGTTCTGGCTTAAGATGGAAAATCATTTTCAGAGTTTGAACGTCCCTTTGGTATATTTGGTCTATCTTATAAACCAAAAGGAGATATCTTATTAACTTAGATAAATATCTTATTAGATTACTCATATATCTTATTAACCTAATAACATATCTTATAAACCTAATAACATATATTATTAACCTCATAACATATCTTATCCATTTTAATAAAATATTTTATTACCAAGTCAGGAATATGACAGTTGTTATCCATTCGTTTGATGCGTTTGAGCTTTTGATATTGCCATTTGATTAGGGACTTTCCTTGAAAATTTTCCTCGGAGTTCAGTATTTTTGTGATTATACTTTGTATTAACCTAATAAAATATCTTATATATCAAATAAGATAAACTATATAAGATATCTTACTATTCAATTACGATATCTGATATACCAATCATAATAAATATATAGCAGTTAATAAGATATCAAATAAAGTTAATAAGATATTTTATAGAGTTAAAAAGAAATATAATAAAAAAAATAATAGATGTATTGTATACTTTTAAAGATTTCTTGTAAACCATACAAGTTTTTAACGAAGTATTTGGTATAAATATATATCTTGAAATACATATGAAATGTTTTTAACACAATATAATTTTTTTTTTTAAAGTCGATAAGATTACTTATAAAGTTTGTAACACATTTTTTTTTTTACTTCAAATTGATGAAACTATGGTATGATATACTTAGAGTCAATGGTGTTTAGAGGGCTGATATGAAAATGTATTAACTGCTTACAGTTATTATCGTATGCCTTTCCGTAACGTTATCGTATGGCATTTCGACCTCACTCTGCAGATTCCGGAATATACACCTCAGTTGTTTTCAGTTAAAAACATAACAAAGGAGGTTAAAAAACAAATATTTGGAAACAGGAAAATACATTATGAAAAATTAATGCAAAACACATGAACCAATCAATGCTTTTTTTTTAAAGTTTTAGGCATAGTTCTTAAGAGTCTGTTCTTCTGCTGAATTATGTGATCAAAAGATCATAACATGTCATTTTTCATGTCATACCCTTCAGTGGCCCTCGGTCGTGATATCAACCTCGAGTCTTTCGAATTTTGCGCTGATATCATGGCCTAGGGCCGATAAGAGGTCTGGTATGAAGGAACAATGCCATATAATAATCTATACTCATAAAGAATACTATAAGTCCTATATACTTTATAAAATATCGTATTAGCTTGAAAAGATTTCTTGAAATTGTATAAATATAGAAACGGCCTGCATGGATGTAATTAATTTGTAAAAAAAAAATCAAACTGCGTCATTTATGTTATCTTTTCGATCTGTTTCTTCATATTTTTTTTTGATGTAGCCCTACAAATTATATATAATTTAAATACGTCAACTTACTGAATAAATGAACCTATAATTGTTTTTGAGCAAAAATGTTACTCGAGTGACCCATATTGATCCTTTATTT